CTCAAGGTCATCCAATACCTCAGTCAGCGCTTACAGACGCGCTGACCTGCAGGGACTTGACCTACTTCCACTCGGACACACGGACGTGCGTCTGGGTTCTCGCGGCTGCCCAATCACCACTCAAACATGTCCCTTTTTCCCTATCCTCGGCCGTCAGACGTCACTTAGGACCACGGCGCTCCAGCGGAATGACAATAAACTATTCCTAATATTCTGGCCTCCATCGACTTCTCTTCTTTTTTAAGTAACCATGGTCTGAAGATCGCAGTTGCTAGGGTTTAACTCACTTAACCCCCTGCGATACACCTTCTTGCTTAGTGCCAATCATTTACTACATTTTGACTGAAAAGTTTCCACTAGGACAACAACAAAGCCTCAGTATTTAACAAGAACGCATTAAACGAAGAGTATAGGTACTGTTTAGTACTTAGGTGGATTGGAAACCGATCAGTGCTGACGTAAAGGTATAGAGGAGCTCTCTAGAAAATTTTACCGAACAACTATTTACCGATTTCGACGACGGTGAAAGGCGTAGCTCAACATCGGTTTTTAACAAGAATGCAGAACCGCGAAATTTGAAGGTTATCATGACTGATAGTTCACAGCTAAGGCACCTGAGTAAGATTAATTTTGATGCAAAATATGTCGCTTTAACGTCGAATAATGCGAAATCGAATGGGAAATATGGGGAAATTTGCATTTGTGCAAAGCTACCAAACCCAAATACCATTTAAACGCCTGTACGACATGCGCATGAAAGAAAGCCCAATATGGACGAAAATCAATACCGTCGATTTCAAGTCGAAACGGCAAACGAAACGGGGAAAAATTCGCAAAGGAAAAAACGACGAGTTATTAATATTATATTATGCAACTACCTCAAACACAAAGCAAGACTAAAGTTTAAAAGGTTAGGAGTCCTCCGGGTCATTTGTCATTCGGGCGATGGCATAGCTTACCGATGGCAGCATGGAGCGGAACTGGAGTACAGAAATAAACCAAAATATGAATGAAAATTTCGTAATTACAAGGAAACATCTAAATAACAAAGTATAAATGGCATTTCGCGGACCTGATCGCTAGAAGGTTGTTTGTCCACGTCTGCCTTAGAACGCCCATCATCGGCGTTCACGTTGGGACAATCACCATCGGTAGAATCAAATGCCCGATGGCTAACTGCCCTTGCACGCAAATCGTAGGTCTTACCAGTACGCGTTTAGGTACGGATGGCTGATGATGGCGGAGAAGTCAGAAGGGTTCATCTCCGTCTCCTCCGTATCTGTCGTTATTCCTTCTACAAACCAAATGATTATCCTGGCACTGCATAGATGATTTAAATGTGGCTACGCCAGCGACCAAGAGGTTGCTGTGGAAATCTATGGCAGGACTCGAAAGTCCCGAATTACGTACTCGCTTAGCAACAAGTATGTGACTGTCCATGCTAAACAGTAGTCAACATGGAGCTTTTGAGGACTCCTAAGTTAAGAGTACACGCAAACGCGAGCCTTATGAGCAGATTTGAGTCATGCAACACCAAGACAAACTCAGACGTGTGAAGTAGACGCCCGGTAAGTTTAAAACTTTCGTACCCTTATTATGCACTGTGTTACTCCAATTCTCACATTTGGGAAACAGTATAATAGTAGTATACATCGCACCCCAAAATATTAGTGCGTAAAACTACGCCTAGGAAGACCCATGTACTTAAGAAGTATACCTAACTTAAAATGTTCAAAGCCAGGCAGAATGCAAAACTTACAAAACGGAAAATTACCGGATGCTCGCAACAAGATGTTGCACGCCAGTGACTGCCACCATCATCATG